AATGTTCAACACATCAAAGATATCTGATATACAGGACCAGTATAGCCCTAAAAAGTGTAACAGTGCAAACACATGGCCGTTGGTGATATACCTAATTAATAGTCTTGGCTAAGAATCACACAAGTTATAAAAGAAGATTAAATTTTGAATCCACATTAGTTCCATTCTGAAATGCAAAATATAACTTTCCTTTAAACCAAGGATTCTTATTAGTATGTTGCAGATAGACAACAAAGAATCCTTTCGTTTTTCTAAATTCTGGTTGAATGCAGCACAAACAATAGTTCAAATGTTGAAGTAGCTGAAGTGTATTACAAGCATGTTGTCGGTATACTTAGATGCAGTAGGCAATATCAACCTAATATCTGAAATATTGTTTGCAAAGCTTCCAACAGATTATATCTCCTCATAACTCTAACTGATCGGACACGTATTTAATGCTTTAATGTATACTATACGCAGGGCAATTTGCTTCTCGAGAAGTATACTGCCAGGATTCCAATGCCTCAACTAAGAAAAATGCAGTTCTAAATAACATCTAACGAAGAAAGAGAAAAACAAGCCACAGTAGTTATGGATTCCATCCTACCTGTAATCCCATTAGGCTTGCAGTTACAGCTGGATTATCGGCATTATGGTGTGCATCAAACAGCTCCAAAACCAATGAGTTCCAATAATCCAAACAAACCTGTTTAATCACAAGCAGCAAACGATGTCAATTTCCAAAGCATTAGATGGAACACAAAATACCATTCCTACCTGCCAACATAGAAAAAGAAACAAAAGTAACTGCATCAACAACAATAACAGTAATAATTGTTAATTCCAAACCTTGAACACTTCAGTGTCTTCAACATATGATATATTGATGAGATATTCCAGACCCGCGAGTAATACAGATACATTTTCTGGGGCAGATTCTAGGACTCGTATATGGAACTGCAAATAAGGGAAATTTGAGACAGCAATGACATTTGATACTATCAAAATGCTTCCACCATAAAAGTTAGTACCTTATATGAATTAAACCACACCCGCCAAAATCTAGAATTCTATTTCGCCGCACCATAGGATATCTTACTGAATCAGAAAGAAAATTTACCTTGAAAAATGAAGTGAAAAACAATGCCAAATTCTGGATAAATGCCTAGAAGAAAATAGAAAATACAAAAAGTCAAATCATGATAAGTTAAAGAAAACAATGAGTCCAGCTGGAACTTAATGCACCTAAAATAATTACCTGTTCTTCACTACTTCCATTTGCATATGCATCAGAGATATTTGTAGTCGGATGGAGAATTGCCTACAGATGTGGAAAACAATCACAAACATCAAACAAGAAACCAAGAATAAAATCAGTTATATGTTAAACAAACACATAAACTTACTAGACATTAAACTAACAAGGATAGAACTATCATTCTATAATAGCCTGAGAAAACAAATTGAAGCGAAGCAAGCAAGACAACAGGCATTACTTGCAACTGTGCCATGAATATGTTGTACATCTTAACATATTGAACATTGTAGAAGTCCCCAAAATTAAGAGCTGCAACCTGCAAGAAAAAGCCCCCGTCTCCAATCAATACAAAATCACAGAAAAACAATGATTTCATGACAAAATATCTGAGACCACAAACCAAAGTACCTCCGTCAGACATTGAAGAGTGAGATTCCTATAAGCTGGCACAGGAAAGAATTTAAGGAGGGTCTCCAGCTGCAAATTACAGGAAGAAAAGTGAGAACATAATTGTGATGTCCATTATCACCAATCTTAATCCAAGTATGTTTACCAAAGGAGACTCAAAGATATAGCCCAAGGGAATCCAGGAAAGGTAAGCATGCAGAGAAGACAGAGTTGCGCGTATAAGCTCTGGTCTTTGGGAAGCTGAGAGAACATATAGGCACAGCTCGTGAATGAGTTGAAACTCACTGTAAATAATAAAGAAAAAATGGACAAAAAATCAGATATCCAAATAAGACAGAAGATGTATTAAATATAGTTAGAAGAATTAATATCAAATTAAGATACCTGTTCAAAGATTGTTTCAGTTCTTTGATCTTCTGCTGTGTCATCTCTCCTCTTGAGAAATCAAAAACCTCCTCACTTAGGAGCTAACAGAAAAAAGAAAAAGAAATGTTATCTGTTTGCAGTAATAAATGAAAGCAAAAGCATGTCAATAATACTTACTTTCAAAATAGCCATGCAATTCTCGCAGATGGTTTCACTGGTTTTAGCAGCAGTAACTAGGTCAGGGATAAAGCTTCTCCACTTAGCTGGCCACTCATGCTTTACAATCTGCATGCATCTCGTTATATGTTATGCCCAAGACCAATTCAATTTCGATCAACTTTGGTAAAACCTTACAAGAATACAACACTAGAATCCATTTCTAAATAAACAATCTTCACAGCAAATACCCCTAAGCTACAAAAAATGAAAGGAGAAACAGCTGGGCATTTTTCATGTAGTCAATTACACGGATACATGAAAGATTTAGTGCAATTAAGTAAATGCATTCACTACTGGCAGAAATTCATGGCAATACCTGAACCAAAATGATATTTAGCTTGTTGACATAAAGCCTTTCCGATCTGAAAGACGCATCATTACTAGAGAGCTGCACATAAATCCACAAAAGAATACAGTCAAAATTAACCACAAGACTATCTAAGAAATATTTATACAATTACAAAATACATACCTGTACAATGACTTCAGAGATGTAATTTTTCATTCCATCTCGTTGCTCAACAGGCAGCGCATTCCATCTATACTTGATAACACCTTCTAGGACCTGAAAGCAGAGGCCATGGAAACCTTCATATATCAATTACCCTATTTGCATGGAAACCTTCATATATCAATTACCCTATTTGACATAATTGACTTAGGGAACACGAAACAACTTGAACAAGAAATATCATTATAAGATATAAGATATATATTCAAAGGTTTTAACCAGCTATTTTCAATATGTACAAGCGTTTCATACTGATAAAACGAAGCATTTCTAAGGACAAATCTGAATCGTATAAATAGGTGTCACAACGTAACTGCTTGATTCTTCAGAAAGTTATCGTTTCCTTAACTAGCATATACAATGTATGAAACAATGGAACCTGTTTCCACAACTCTTGGATGTAGAAGGTATATCATATGGAACGATGCTAAGAGATATAAGCAGAAGAATAGCCGAAAATAACAATGAAATCTCTAATTGGCAACACTGCAACAGCCAACGCTAACAAAATAAGGGATGGTAATACTTACTTGAAGGGCAAAGAACTTGGTGTCCAGATTTTTTGTGTTTTGAAGAATGTGAACCACTTGGAGCCACATATCTGGATTAGCTTGTAAATCCCGCAAAATATGGTCGGCAGCAGCTCTCTGAGCAACACATTTTGGGAATAAAATGAAGTTAATTCATAGAGAAAACATGATGGCAGATAAAGTGGAATTTTACTTTCGAGCAGAAACAGGTGCAGCAGCAGCAATCAAGTATAGATTGAATTATCGAAACAATATCGCGCTTCTAAAGATATCTGAAATAACGATGTTTCACAATTTATAAGACTAATAATGCGGCTATAAAGTGTCATGATCGGAAAATAACTTTTCAATGCAAACTGCCTAATGGTCCTCTCTCCTTTCATTATGATTTAAGCCAACAAGAGCACACAAAGGTCGCGGATTGCTTCCATCCCAGGAAAAGCAAAACATTTAAACACAGACGGAAAGCACACGCCGAGGAGTTTAAACTCAAAACCTAGAAAAACAACCAAAACCTCATCCAATTCTTCCGAGAACACCCACAACATAACGGAAGACAAACAGGTACCAGCGCGGCTAAAACCCTAACACCGAAGCAGTCGTAAAACGCCCCCCTTTGCACAAATTTCACACGCAATCCAGAAGAAAACGGACGAAACACCATAACCCCGAATATGAAATCAATTATCTCTTCCCTAAATTTACCGACAGGCAAGAAAACATAGCCGGATACCAGAGAAATCGACCCACCTCTTCCTTAGATCCGGTGCCATAGAAGGCAGCCACGGTGGCATCGAGGAGAGCGACGTCAATTGGTTGGCTCAAGTCCCTTAGCTTCTCGGCCGCCATGGCTGAGATGCGAAGCTCGAGTAGAATCGTCGGATACCGAAAGCAACAGGAGAGACTGTAGCAGTGGAGGAGAAAACCCTAGGAGAGAGAATAAAAAGGGCGGAAGAAAATATTCTAGAGAGAGAGTATGGAGAGCAAAAGGAGCGTCGTATAAATATAGAGGAGTTCCTGAAGACAGCTTAAACTTGACGCAGGGAGGGGAGACAAAAAAGAGCGACTTTGAAAATTGTTTTCTTGTTCTTTTCCTCATATTTCTATTATTTATTATTGATTATATAAGCTAGGATAATCTTTCCTTTTAATTTTTTAAAATGCAATCTAACATTTAAAGTCATAATGAAAAAGAAATATATATTAGATTTGGAATATTGATATTTAATTTTGTATAACAATAATCATAATCTGTCTAGTTACCCAAAAAAAACATAATTTGTCTCATAGAATAGTTTGATCTTTCACCAAATCGATCTAATATTCATTAGCCATTAATTATCTTTTAAAGATCTGCATGTGATGCATGACAATAACTTATATTTTCATAATTCTATTATATTATTTCATTCTCAAAAGTAAATCTGATTCCATATTAAATGTAATCCCCATTGTAAGAAAAAACTAATAAATCTATAAATACCATAAATTGTTTAACAATTATTCATGATAGATGTTTTAGTCTGTAGAATAGCTGCTCCTTTAATTCTTTTGATGCAATTCACAAGTAGAAATGAAATAATTGAAAACCATACCGGATCACATGTTTTTCGGTAAACCGGTAGGGGATGCTAAACCGGTCAAGCAAAACAGGTATAAGGTTTTGGACCGGAGAGGAAGAATCCCATACAACAAGGCGTAGAAATGAAACGGTGTGCGTAATCAGGGCGTGAAAAGTATATTCTGAAATCCAAATCTAAAGGCGAAGAGGCACTCCGACCGAGACAAGGACATGGCTTCGACGGTGGTGAAAAGTGCGTTGCAGGCGATCAAAGAGAGAGGCCTGGTCGGTTTCTTACGGCTTCTCCGGGAAGAGGGCTACACGTCAGTTCTTCTTCTTCGTCTTCTTCTCTCGCGCCTTGTTCCTCGTTTGATTTCGATTATTTTCCTCTAGGGATTGCCTCGATTCGATCTGTTTGATTCAGGAAACCCTAGGAAATGCGAGTTTTGTTGGTTTCGTTGGATCTTCCTTTATTTCGATTGAAGATTATAGATGAACACGCGCTTTTCTCTATGCTTGTTTGTGTATATAGATTTGTCGGAATGTATCGGTAAGGAACGAATCTTATTCTAGGATTTGTCTGAGCGGAATGGGTCTATGGAAATTTTGTCTATTTGTCATCGAACAGCCATTGTAGTTGCTGCGGATTATCCTTGAAGTATCCTTTAAAGCTTTGGAATATTTGGCTTTTATTTTTTCTTCTGGAAATCAAATATGTAAGCTCTTTGATAATTCTTCTTCTTCCCATGTCATGGTTCAAATGAGGGGAACTCTTACTATTGATTCCTACTCGAGCGTTCGGTCTAATTCCTTCATCCTTCTGTAGCCTCTCCATGCTTAGGTGTTCAGTTCATGACCGTTCAATCCCATGATTATATGCGCTTTTTTTCAGCATTCTTTTTCTGGAATCGTGCCTCTCGAGTTCTCGGCATCTGCTAATTGCTTGTTTTATACCTTTTCCCTCATTACAGGAATTGCCTGACGGATGGAAATCTCTTGTAAGTACAATCTATACTCTTATATATGTGCTGGGAGGTTCATCCCTTCTAAAACACGCGCATATGTTTTCCAGTGGCTCAACAAGCTGCTGCAGGTTCTATGATTGCATTTCTGATGGAATATAGATCCCTGACTGCCAGTACTGAATACTCCGTAATGATTTTCATTTCTTACCGGTCATCCTGTTTGTCTTTCTCTTGTTTGAAACATTGACATAAATGCCAGATCGAACTTTTGGCATCCGATTATGTTGCATGTTGATCTTAAAACTCCACAATAGCTTAAAATATTGCAATTCAAAGTTGGAAACTTTCTCTTCTCTTATTGTAAGAGGCTTGCCTGAGGTCTCCTGGGTTGGAGAACTTTGCTATGATTCTTGCTAGATGTTTTCTGTTGAAGGATTGTGAAATCTTGATGTCTGAATCTGTGTTCTGTTGTATGATGTTATTTTTCTTGTTGCGCCAAGCTTTTCCTATTTCAGATACTACAAAATAATATATGCAGCATAACTAAACTGACTGACATAAGATCTTTGATGTGCATATGCATCTTTTATTCATTTGATGTTCTTTGATTGTTATGGAGATAAGAACGTTTGGATACCTCATGATCAATAACATTTTTTTTATTTTTTACCAATTAAGGCAAACGAAAATACACAACATAGGAGCAACAGTTGTTGGTGTTGATAAATTCGGTAACAAATATTACCAAAAGCTGGGCGACACTCAATACGGTTTGTAGTTTGTACATCTTTCCATTTTGCCTTGTGATGTCCTTCAGTATTTGCTTTTGCTTAATGTCAATACTACTTGCAGGATTCAGAATACTTGTTGCCTATATCGTATACTATTTGAAAAAAATTGCTTATATTTATCATTCAACAAAATCAAGGCTAGGGTTGTTAAGGTTTTCAGGAAATATATAATCATCTTGTCGCGTGGTCATAGGTTTCACAGCTTGTTCCCACATGTCCAAGTACTATATGGTATGAATATGCAACTAAAACACACTACTAACCGTTTGCAGGAAGACACAGATGGGTAGAATATGCACAGAAGGATCGTTATAATGCGTCTCAGGTACCGGCCGAGTGGCATGGATGGCTCCACTTCATGACCGATCACACTGGAGATGAGGTAAGCCTCTTCAGAGACTCAATCTCAAATCTCTACATTAAGGGTTTTATTAATAAAATATCCATTTATAGGCGATCTCGAGCATAAGTAGTATTAATCTAATGATCATCATACTGAATGAGAAATTTCATTTTGAAGCTCCTCATGCTGAAACCGAAGAGGTATGGGCTTGAGCACAAAGAGAACTTCTCGGGAGAGGGTGATGCCTACATTTACCATTCAAAGGGACACGCTCTAAACCCCGGGCAGAGGAGCTGGACTAGGTACCAACCTTGGGAACCCGCTAAGTCTGATAATTGAGTTGAGATGAACTGCAAGTGTTGTTTGCTTCTGTTTTCTTGTAATAAAGATCGGTGGACCTGACGCTTGAACAATTCAGATTTCCGAAACTCGGGTTCTGGTTAAATATTTGCTTGATGATTAAACTTTTGGAAAGCAGGACTGTTTCCCATTAATGGAAAATTGGATTATATATCGTGTGGACTCAATGCAGTTTAGGGGGCATCGGCTTGAGGGAGACGACGACTTCAACTTGGTTTTTGTATTGGGTTTATGTTCGTTCCAGCATACCATAAGGTAAACACTTTCATTAAACGTACCCATCACCACTTTTTTTTTTTGGCGGCGGAGGAAATCAAACCTGTCATTGTCATATCAATTTTGGTTGCGGCACTGCAATTATATGCTCATCCGACCATTAAAAAAATGCAAAATATTTTAATATTCTTCGGAAGATCATTTTTTTTATTAATCACCATACTTGCAAACAGAGTTTCCAAATGAAGTAAATCTTTTACTTAGTATTCGAATGTATTATTATATTATACAAACAACTTCTTTTTTCGGCCCATAATTTATATCATTTATTTGAAGATGCAAAAGAACATACAAAGAATTTATCATGAACAAAATCTAGCATGGACCGGCAACCTAATATGTACAATGATAAATAAGTATAGCGGTTGATTGCCAAAAACGGAATGAAGTGACGAGGTGGACAGACGAAAAGAAAAAGCTTGTGGCTGCTATTACTCCCTCTGCGAAGCCCATAAGGCCGACACTTTTCGGCGTCGGAGAATACCAGAGAGAGAGAGAGGGAATGGCGAGCACCGGAAGAGATGGCGGGGCCACGGCGAGCAACAAACAGGTCATTCTGCGAGATTATGTGACCGGATTCCCCAAGGGGTCCGACCTCATCGTCACTACCACCGCCGTCGAACTTAGGGTTCAGACGGAATCTCCGACGGTGCTAGTGAAGAATCTCTACTTGTCCTGCGATCCCTACATGCGAATCCGCATGGGCAAACCCGATCCTTCATCTCCTGCGCTTTCTCAACCCTACGAACCCGGCAAGGTGCGTCTCCGTCGCTCCCTGTTTATGGGATTCGGTGGAGAAGTTCGAATCCAGTTACATTTCGAGATCATTAGATTCAAAATTATGGGATTCTGTACAGATCCCCTCTGTTTCCTTTTGTTTACTTGTTGCTGAAGGTTTCGATGCGATTTGTGGCAGCCTCTCTTAGGGTTTGGAGTGTCGAGAGTAATAGATTCTACCCACCCGGATTTCGAAAAGGGCGACTTGCTTTGGGGGTTTGTCGGATGGGAGGAGTACAGTGTCATCACTCCAATTCCTAACGTGCACAACAAGATCCACCATATGGATGTTCCGTTATCCTACTACACCGGGCTACTTGGTAAGGTTATCTCGGCTTTCTTCTCGGTCAAATCATCACTTTGGGCGTGCCCAGATATGTAACTTGATGAGAAAGGAATCCTGCTATTTTGTTGATACATGCGTGGTCTAGAGCTGGATAGTAATCTGCATGGACCATTGAATCTAACAAACATTATCCAAAGCTTAGGTAGGAATTGATTTATAGATGAAAATGGACTGTAGTGGTGTCCACTGTCCTTCATGGCTTTGCATTGTTCTGACAGGTATGCCCGGCATGACCGCATATGTTGGGTTTTATGATATATGTGCTCCTAGGAAAGGCGAGTTTGTCTTTGTATCCTCTGCATCCGGGGCTGTTGGTCAGCTTGTGGGTCAATTTGCCAAGTTGATGGGTTGTCATGTTGTCGGAAGCGCCGGAAGTAAGGAAAAGGTGAGCAGAGAAGAGACTTAGCTGGAACTTTATTTAGATTTCTTGTCGGGTCTGATGTATGTAATGTATGCTTCAATACATTTGCTCTGTCTTTTCCATCAAGACAAGACGGTGACTTGCCTTGTTAACCGCTTGTTGTCAGGTCGATCTCCTGAAGAATAAGTTCGGGTTTGACGATGCGTTTAACTACAAGGAAGAGCCCGACCTTGATGCTGCCCTGAAGAGGTAAGTCGAGCCCCTTTATCTCAGCCTGATGGTTTTTGCAATGTTTCCATTGCTCTTCATTTCGGTTTATCCTTGTCTGTTACCAGGTGTTTCCCCGATGGCATCGACATATACTTTGAGAACGTGGGAGGGAAAATGCTCGACGCAGTGCTTCTAAACATGAGAATGAATGGCCGGATCGCAGTCTGTGGAATGATTTCTCAGTACAACCTGGAAGACCCTGAGGGAGTGCACAACTTGGCCACTGTCATCTACAAGAGGATCCGTATCCAAGGGTTCATTGTTTCGGATTACTTCCAAAGACACTCCGAGTTCTTGGACTTTGTGCTTCCTTACATCAGAGAAAGGAAGATAACCTACGTAGAGGACACAGTCCAAGGGCTTGAGAACGGACCTTCCGCTCTGATCGGACTCTTCCATGGTAATAATGTCGGTAAACAGGTTGTCGTGGTTGCTCCTGAATGAGGTCGTACCATGAAGTTAGTTTGGATTAGCGACAATGGTTGTCTTGTGAACAGAGGACTGATTAAGTAAATTAAATAAAAAAAGTTTTTTTTTGTTGTCTTGGGTTGGGTCGGGTGAGATTTCTACTCATCAGTATAAAATCAAAATATTCTCAAGTCGCTTGTGTTCTATGTTTCACAACGAAGTCGCTTTGGTCATTCTCTCTCTAGCGGGCAGGATGAGTCAATCTTTGTCCTCAATTTGGTTTGGCGGACTTTTTTTTCTGTAAATTATCGCAAACCCTAATCGTGCTGTAGGGTCTATTGTTGCGGGCGATTCTTGGTGAGGTTGCGAACCATCGAGTTTCGATGGCTGGGTCATCTGCCGGTGGTCCGAGTCATTTGTCGGCGGCGTCGCCAACTCCTAAAATTCTGCTCGCGAAGCCCTCAGTCGGTCCGATCGCCGGAAAATTTGGCCGCGGCAGCGCTGAAGATGAAGCCCAACATCATCGCTCCCGCCTCCCTCCCGTCAGCTCCCTCAATATACTCTCCGATTCTTGGGATTTCCACATCGATCGCTTTCTTCCTGTAACCCCCCCCCTCCTCTCTCTCTCTCTCTCGTGTTTTGACCTTCGCAAGCGGTAAAATCTGCGTGGTTGGTTTTTCTTTCTTCTTGGAAGTGAAAAAGGTTAAACATCGTTGTTTCTGTGAAATTTTGGCTTTATCCGATGTAAGTCAAAGATGGTGCTCGATACAATCATCTGATGGATCCTTCCAAGCTAACCATCTTTCCTTGATCTACCTGCCATTGATGATGTATATCAATTAACGTATATATGCCATTTGGAAATGGAGTTCCATGCTGTTGATCCTCAGAAACTGATTGTAATTTCACTTTGGGTTCTTCTTGGGTTTTCTTTTGGTCAGTTCCTGACTGAGAATACCGATTTCACGGTGGTTGGTGTGATTGGTCCTCCGGGTGTTGGCAAATCGACAATTCTGAATGAAATTTATGGCTTTGATGCGAGCTCCCCTGGTGAGTATTCTAAATCTATGTCATGTCCTCCAGGTTCCACAGTTGATAACTATTCTGCACGTGATTCTGTTAAGGTTCAGACTCGACTCTGTAGTACTTATCAGATTCATGTCTGAGCAGCAATTTATTTGCAGTTGTGAAGAACTTAGATTGGACAGTTGTCATGGTCATGTGAACAGCATGGAGGTTTTCTTACAAGTCTGTTGTTATATTTGGAAATGCTTGGTCAGGACATGGATGTCGGATTAATCATGTTAAGCTTATTTGTTTCTCTTCCCACATTGTAGTAATGTATCCATTGCCTCCATCACCATTTCTCATGCTGAGCATTGTCGTTGTGGCATGTATGTTTTTTAAAACAATGAAAGTGTTGTTATCTTCCTAGTTCCCCTCAAAGTTACGGAAGGTTGCTTATTTGCAGGAATG